GAGTCTCTGACTGCCCATTATTAGTGTGTGCTGCTCAAACAGAGCGCTAACACTCTCATCAAACACACACACACACCTCTCATAACCCTCCTCATCTTCCACAGATGAGACGAATCAAATGCCTGTTTATCTGAAGCTCAACTGATCATCAAATCAACACAATAATAATACTAACAGCACTATTAATATGAATAATGAGCACAACAGTAATAATAAACGCTGTGAGCTCATTCTGGTCCTGCGATGAGAAACCTCCTGAACATAGTGACTAGGGCTGTGTATCACCAGCAAAGTCACGATACGATACGTATCACGATACAGGACTGCACTGAATTTCACCTCAGCAGAATTGAGTAAAACAGCTGTTTATTAAACACTACTTACTATAGTGCCATTTCTAACTATTGGCAGAGCAGGCAGCTGACCTCTGCATTATGAAGGGCCTCTATAACTGTAGCACAGTACAATATAGGTAATAGCATATGTTTCATGTTTACATTGTGCACTCCCCACCAGGTACAATATTCTGATTGTTTGCATCTTGTTTTTAAGCCCATAAATAATAATGTACTTGTTCTAATAAATTTATATTGTAATGTACTCGCTGCTGGCTTCAGATTAAACCGCCACGGCGCTGAAACTCGATCTCGTGCGCTCCTCAACACTCGCCACAGACACACACTTCTCCTCAGCGCCGAGCTCCAGATGTATGAGAATATGTAATGAGAGCGACGAGCATCTGCTTGCGATTTGAGGTAATTGTCGCTGGAGCACGCAGGTCAATTGGACTAATTTCAGTTCATGTACTAACCTGATGCTCTGGCTGCTGGGCTTTTCCTCCGGCCCCTCGTGACACAGAGCCGGTGTTTTCACAGGAAGTGCCGTTTAATTCCACACCGTGTCAGTTTGGGTTTTGGATTCGCTGTTAAAACAAACACTGATTGCAACACGACAGGACGACCTCAGTGTGAAAGTGTTAATTACACTCAGAGAAGAGAAAGAGATCCGACCCGCTCTGAAAACAGTGCCTCGTGTTCCTCTAGAAAACTCCAGCAGCCCACGTTTGATTCCTCCACAAATGACAAAATGTGATGCTTTTTGTTTATCAATCTTCAGATGATGATGAACGGCATGAAAATAAAGGTTGTGACTAATAATAAACTTCTTAGAATAAGCAACCAAATGGACGTGTGCTGCCTGAGTCACAGGAAGAGCTCAATGCTCAGACACTCTCTGATAGTGAACAAAACCATTTAATCAGGCAACACACTAACCCCAACGAGATACTTTCACACACCCTATCTTATCTGATGCATTCACTTTTAAGGCCTCTAAAGGATCAAAACAGGCTGTTAAACCCATTTCAATCTCCTCCATGCTTCTGTCTCTGATCTACACGGTCTTCTCACTGTATCAGACTATATGAGCCATATAAACCTGATGGATCAAATATGATGCTCAACAAAAACACGAATGCAAACATTTAAAAAAATTGATTATCCTGACTATTATTTTACAGGGTTAAATGTCAAAATAGTTTTGGTGAAAAAATGAAGATAAAAAGTTTGTAGTGTTCCTCTAAAAGATTTGTTCAAAAACAGTAAAGGAATAATTCACGGCCTAAACAGGTCTGGCAGATCTTCAGAGTAAAGCTTCAGAGAGAGAGAGACGAGAGCGGTGACGGGGGTCGCGGGGTCACCGAGATTCTGCTCCGTTTGTGACCTTGTGAGAAACACTGAGAGTCTCTGACTGCCCATTATTAGTGTGTGCTGCTCAAACAGAGCGCTAACACTCTCATCAAACACACACACACACCTCTCATAACCCTCCTCATCTTCCACAGATGAGACGAATCAAATGCCTGTTTATCTGAAGCTCAACTGATCATCAAATCAACACAATAATAATACTAACAGCACTATTAATATGAATAATGAGCACAACAGTAATAATAAACGCTGTGAGCTCATTCTGGTCCTGCGATGAGAAACCTCCTGAACATAGTGACTAGGGCTGTGTATCACCAGCAAAGTCACGATACGATACGTATCACGATACAGGACTGCACTGAATTTCACCTCAGCAGAATTGAGTAAAACAGCTGTTTATTAAACACTACTTACTATAGTGCCATTTCTAACTATTGGCAGAGCAGGCAGCTGACCTCTGCATTATGAAGGGCCTCTATAACTGTAGCACAGTACAATATAGGTAATAGCATATGTTTCATGTTTACATTGTGCACTCCCCACCAGGTACAATATTCTGATTGTTTGCATCTTGTTTTTAAGCCCATAAATAATAATGTACTTGTTCTAATAAATTTATATTGTAATGTACTCATTGTAATATATTTAAAAAATCATTTACATTGCTGGTAGGTTATTGCACAAATTAACACACTCTCTACAATAAAAAAAAAAATCAGAAGTTCTAAACTAACGCGCTGTCTTCACTGTATCTCTCACACACACACACACACACACACACGCACACGCACACGCACACGCACACGCTCAAGGCTGATTTATACTCGACGCGTCTGCAAGTTCGCTTTTAGGTGCACGCGGCAAATATGACGTCATCGCGGTGTTGGCGGAAGTTCGCTTTGAGTGCGCGCGATGTCGTTTCGCGTGGCGGTGTGCACAACATTTTTTGTAACTTTCCGCGCAGCTCCGCTTCCGAAGATGCACGAGTTCAAAGCGACTCTAGCC